TTGATATTGTTTGTTTTGTTAAGTAATGCTTACTTTTGTAAGATATTTTGGATAATGGAATGGAATGTGTCAAACTTGGTATTAGGGGCGTTTTTTGGTGTATTTTATATGATATTTGAGACAAATGTGAATTAAATGTGGTATTTGACAAAAAATTGGAAAATTTTAAATTAAATTTTTTTAAAAATAAAACAAAGTTAGCTACGGAATAGCTACGGATTTCCGTAGCTATTTGGATCCGTAGCTATTCCGTAGCTATTTGGATCCGTAGCTATTCCGTAGCTATTTAGTTCCGTAGCTATTCCGTAGGTATTTAGTTTCGTAGCTATTCCGTAGGAAATCTGTAGTTATTTATTTCTGTAGCTATTCCGTAGCTAGAGTAGCTACGGAAAATTCCGTAGCTATTCCGCAGCGATTCTGTAGCTAATCCGTAGCTATAATTTAGCCACGGGTCATTATGCTACAGCCAATTTTCCGTAGCAATTCCGTAGCTATCCGCTTATAGCTACGGATTAGCTACGGATTGTGCTGTAGCTATTGCACCAATTTTCTAGTAGTGTTGGTTTACTCCAAGACGCGGGAGTAGCATGAGGAGCACTTGCGAGGGGTGTTGGTTACCCTAAGGATGGAGAGCTTGTACACCAAGTTTTCCAAGTGTGAATTCTGGTTGCGCGAGGTGTAATTTCTTCAGCACCTTGTAAACCAAAACGATATTTTGGTCAACCCGGCCAAAGTGGAGGCCCTGATGAGATGGGAGGTTTCGAAGTATCGATGTGAGATTCGGAGTTTTCTATGGCTAGCTAGCAGGCTATTACTAGAGATTCATTCAGGACTTCTCCAAGATAGCAGTACCCTTGACCCAACTGACGAAGAAGGTCGTGGTCTTTCACTGAGGGCCTGAGCAAGAAGCAGCATTTGAGACGCTGAGACAGAGGTTGTACGATGCGCCTATCTTAGCTCTGCCAGAGGGCGTGGAGGATTTTGTAGTGTGTTGCGATGCGTCTATTTCGGGCTTGTGCGTTGTATTGATGTAGAGGGGGAACGTCATCGTTTACTCCTCGAGGCAGCTGAAGCCTCACGAGGCGAACTACCCGATACATGCTCTGGAGTTAGGGGTGGTTGTTTTCGCCCTCAACATTTGGCGGCATTACCTCTATGTGGTTCGTTGTACCATATATACAGATCACAAGAAGTTGAGCTACCTCATGGATCAGTCGAATCTGAACATGAGGCAGCGTCGGTGGTTAGATGTGGTGAATGATTATAAGTGTTAAATCCTTTACCACCCGGGGAAGGCGAACGTTGTGGCTAATGTGCTTGCCGCAAGGTATCCCCGATCAGAGACATTTGCTTGAGGATGACGGTGGTGACTCCACTTTTGGAGCAGATCCGAGAGGCGCAAGTTGAGGGTATAAAGGAGGAGCATCGGAAGTGTGAGCTGATCATAGGCCAGGTGGCCTTATTTGACTATGACAGTCGTGGGCTGCTGCCCCTCCATGGGAGGGTCTAGGTTTCATACTAGGGCGAAGTACGATAGATTCTGATAGATGAGGCCCACAGGTCCATATTTTCCCTCCATCCCAGGGCGAAAAAGATGTATAGAGATCTTCGCCCTGATTACTGGTGGCCCTGCATAAAGCAGGATGTAGCCTGGTACGTCGAGAGATGCTTGACCTGCAAGAAAGCCAAGGCAGAGCACCAGAGGCCTCACAACAAGATACAACCATTGGATATCCCTGTGTGGAAGTGGGAGTATATTACTATGGATTTCATCAAGAAACTTCCCAAGACCACACGGGGAGTGGATTCGATTTAGGTCATCGTGGATCGATTAACCAACAGTGCCCACTTCATTCAAATCCAGGAGAGCATTTCGGCCGAGAAGCTAGCCGACATCTACATCAGGGAGGTAGTAGCTCGACGTGGAGTGCCAGTCTCCGTGATTTCTAATAGAGATGTGTGATTTACTTCCAGATTCTGGAAGAAGTTTCACGACGAGTTGGGTACTCGTCTGTACTTTAGCACGACTTTTCACCCGCAGACGGATGGTCAGAGGGAGTGGACCATCCAGACTCTGGAGGATATGTTGTAGGCATGCGTCCTAGACTTCGGTGGTAGCTGAGATACTACCTTCCCTTGGCAGAGTTTTCCTACAATAATAGCTACCATGCGAGTATCGACCGTCCTCCCTTCAAGATGTTATATGGGAAGAAATGCAGAACCCCGATATGCTGGGGTGAGGTTAGACAGAGGTTCATGGGGAGTACCAAAGTGGTACTCAAGATGACGGAGAGGATACAGCAAGTTCAGAGTAGGCTTCAAACTGCTCAGAGTCGGAAGAAGAGCTAAGCCGACAGACACCGATCGAACCTAGAATTCCAAGTCGGGGATATGGTCATCCTGAAGGTGTCACCTTGGAAAGGTGTCATCTGATTCAGGAAGCAGGGAAAATTAGGCTCTAGGTACATTTATCCTTTTAGGGTTTCATTACGGGTGGGTAAGGTGGCGTATAGGCTGGATCTGCTAGTCGAGCTTAGTCAAATCCACAATACCTTTCATGTCTCCCAGCTACGGAAGTGTCTGGTAGATGACTCTGCGGTAGTACCTCTAGAGGATATTTAGGTGGACGACAGACTGAACTACATCAAATGGCAAGTAGCCATCCTCAACGGGAAGACGAAGGATCTAAGGAACAAGAAGGTCGAGTTAGTGAAGGTGCAATAGCAGCACCGCAAGGGCTCAGAATGGACTTGGGAGCCGGAGGACGAGATAAGGGAGCACTACCCCGAGCTATTGCTAGATGCAGCAGACTTCAGGGACGAAGTCTAAAATAAGCGGGGGAGATTTGTAACGTCCGGTTCCTAGAGTGGAAGCTACAACTGTTTGGTTGAAGGAATGAGCTTTGGATCCAGAAGAGGAACTTCATTTCCGGTTCATTTGAGGTATAAAGTCTATACCTTGTCTATTTCATTTACTAGTACTCTTCATGGGGTAGTTTAAGTCCATATGGAGCATATTATGGAACCATTCATGGATGCAAGCATGTTTTGGGGTCATGAATTCAGATGCAGAGTCTTTGAGAGACTCCATGGCATAAAGGTGCCTACTTCATGGCTATGGGAGTCCCATGTATCATATGAACCACTTTTTAAGGCTTTTTTAGCTAAATAACCCATGCATACACGTAAAGTTAGAAACTTTACGTGATATATCGACCCTAGGAAACCAGATCTGTGTTTTGGATGCATTAAGCCTGACTTAAAACGACTGTATGGATTTAGACTAGGGGGACTCGACGAGATATTCATACAACTCAGCGAGTTGGGTTGTGGTCCCCCAACCTTTTATGTTGCTGAGTAAACTCGTTGAGTCTAGGAGATGACTCAGCGGGCTGGACATGTTTGGGCTTGAAGATTGAAGGAGAACTCGACGAGTTCAAGGAGGAACTCGACAAGTTATGAGCAAAATGTCATGAATCTGTATAAAGGAGAACTTGACGAGTTCAAAGAGAAACTCAACGAGTTATGAGTACAAGGTCCTGGCTACGTTATACGGAAGAACTCAACGAGTAGGACCGAGGTTTCCAGAGCTTTATAAATCATGGAACTCGTCGTGTTCATTAAAGAACTCGACGGATAGGATCGGGACTTCAGGGTTTTATGGATTATGGAACTCGGAGAGTTGAGTCAACCAGATGTTGACTTTGACCAAAGGTTGACCTTGACTAGGGTGTTGACCTTGACTTTGACCTGAGTTGACCCTTAATAGGGTTATGAGTATGTAAGGGTAATTAAAGGACATTGTTATGTGTAAGAGTTTGAGAGGAGTTGATCCGAACAACCAGGACAGTTCAGCTGCTATGCGACATTGAGGTGAGTTACCTTCAAGTAGAAGTGGGTCGAAGGCACCAATGTCGGTCCATTGGTAAGAGTATAGTAGAGATGATTGTCTTTGTGATATTTATCTGATATGGAACTATCTGTTATGCTTTATGTGCTAGTATCCTATGTTATTATGTGATAGTGGTAGGAAGGGGACTAGTCCCCAGACCCGGTTGAGATATACCGGCAGGGTAGGTTAGGCACCCAGATATGTCTAACAGTATGCTATGTTTTATGTGGTAGTGTTAGGGGTGAAATAGTCCCCGTAGTTGGTTGAAATAAACCGGAGGGTAAGTCCAGCATCCAGATATGTTTGACAAGGGGTGGGTCGGGCACCCTGGTATGCCTGACAATGGTAGGTTGAGCATCCATATATGCTCAGCAGGGTAGGCCGAACACCCAGATATGTCTGACAATATTTTATTGTATGGTATGTGGTATGATAGGGGAGTGGGGGGGGGGGGGGGGGGGGACTTACTAAGATTTATGTTTACGGTTTTCAGTTTTTGTTTCAGGTCCTTCTTCTTCAAAGGGAAAAGAGTCGGCATGATGTTTTCAGCCAAATGGTTTTATATTTGTTTAATTTTTAATGAAATTTTTTGTCCATATTTTTGTGATGTTACAAGACATGTCACAAAAAAGGTAACTAAGAATTTGGAATGTATAGGATATGTGGTTTCGTGTTTGGCAAAGAAATTGAATTATGTATGACAAGTTACCATTTCGCGAATCAAGATATCCTCGTTCCCAATTTAGCATACCATTTTGACCATTTTTGTGATTAAGCCTTCTATTAAAAGAATGTATAGGTATAAAGAACACACAACTTTTCTTTGAATTCTTCACTATCATGTACAAAAATAAGACATCGGAAGGATGATTACATACAAAAGAATTTAGGGATATCTTTTCCCACTCTTAGATCAATTTTAAACAATAATAGAACAAATAATATATTTAACATCTAATTAGACATGAGCAGAATTCATTTGCCATATGTTGACTGAGGCGGTAACTTTGGTTGCTGTAGCGTTGTTAAACAAGAATAATTGAGCATTGTTGTTGATAGCCTTTGTTGGATAAACACGTGAAGTGATACATGATCTTCCCTCTTGTGCAAAACTTTCAACTATCGAATGATCCACCAAGATTCTCATAGATAACTTTTCACCTTTAAGAACTGGGACAATGCTCCCATAAATAGACTTATCGACATCATTAGCATTAGATGACCTCGATTGATCAGCACAAAAGAATGTTTTAAGGTTCCCATCAACTCCTTTGGCAACATAGAAATAGACGGGAGTGTGTTCAGCTAGACCTTCGTGTGCAAGGACTGAAAATCCGAATGGTCCCAATGCACCTCGTTTTGCGGCTCCACCATTTTTGGCACAATCATATGCAACATCGGCTCCGTTTAATCGCTCCACTGTCTTCTTATCCACTTCAAACTCAGCCACAATATCTAGCTGTAAAATATAATTCGAAATCTTATAACCAATCATATACAAACTAGTTTTAATGACAATGACAGCTAAACATAGTCTCATTTACTTTTACTTTAATATATGTTGTAGTCTATCATTTCTCTGTATGACTCTTTTGGAGATAAATTCTACTACTAACATAACAAAAAGGAAAATATATCAACTACCTGAGATGCAGAAGACAGGTTGAGTGGCACGAGTGTGCCGACTTCTAAAACGACATCCTTAAAAACCGTAAGGTTTTTCCGCAATCGGTTAATTTCTTCAATGGGCCACTGAATTATATTGCTTTGAGTTTTTTTATCCAACACAATTGTTCTAGGAACTCCCTGTGAAAAACATACAAAAATGATAAATAAATGTTGGACAATATTAACATTTGTAACGGTTTTTAAGCATACCATGACAGAAGCCCAACCCTTCTTAATGTCGGAGGCTTCAGTGTCGGTCTCTTTAATCCAACTCCACAAAACTCTTCTTTGTTTGTTTTGGTCGAAAAATGTTTTTGAGGCGTAATAGATTCCATAATCGTATCTCAACCCGATTCCTACATCTAATGTAGGATTATCTGGGGTCCATTTTCCCTTATGGGCATCATAAGTACCGATGGCATAATAGTCATTTCGGTCATCATCCATGCTAGCTTTGACTATGTGTTTGACCCCGGGCCCATCTACTGACGTGTCAAGACCATTCTCGCCTTGTTTTGATATCGGGTAAAAATCCACACATTCCCACATACCCGTGCCCGGAACAGCATGGAGCAACCCGTCTAAAAGCTCAAAGGTTCTGAAGTCTTCTGTGTCGTAAACCAATGAAATACCGGTTTTATTGATCTTAGAACCGATGGTGATTCGCCACTTTCCCTCGGGGGTCTTCCATGCGGTTGTTGGATCACGGAAGTCTTTATTATCGATACCGGGTGGTGGGACGAGAACCGGGTTTCCGGGGTATTTGACCCAGTTGATTAGGAGCGGGTCAGATGGGTCGGCTGGATAAGCTAGGTTTTGGACCTGGACGGATTCGTTGGTGGATCCGGTATAAAGTACGACGAGTTGACCGTCGGGAAGGATGGTGGCGGAACCAGTCCAGACACCCTGTTCGTCATACCACTGGTCGGTTTCCATGGCGATGGGGAGGTGGCGCCAGTTAATTAAGTCTTTGGAGACGGCGTGGCCCCAAACGATTTTGCCCCACACCGGAGCATCGGGATGATACTGATAGAACAGGTGGTACCATCCATTGTAAAAAACTGGACCTGAAATATATTTTAATTAAAATAATGTTAAAAAGTGCTTAAAAAGGATGTTCTCTTTCTTCCTTTTCAGTTGTAACTTTGAAGTTTGAAAGTATGGATATGCTTTTTTAAGAATAATCTGATAAATAAAGAATACTATACTATTAATCATACTTTGTTTTCTTGTATGAATAAATCACGAAAACGAGAGTGGGCCATCCTTAGGACAAAAGTAGTGTTTTATTAATTAAACACTTTAACTCATAATTATATATTTTTATAAATAATATAAAATTTTATATATAAACCAAATGAGTTTTGAACTTACCGTTTGGATCTGAAGAGAGAATCGCGATCACCACAGCGATGCCAAAAAAAACAAAAGAAGAAAATATAAGTAATGATGTTCTAATCACATTCATAATGTGAAATTTAGCTCAAATTTTCTGTGTGTATGTAATTAAGAAAAAAATAATTTACCGTTCATCCAATTTTTCTTGGGTTGGAAGTGAAAGGCAGTTCTTTGCCAATCCAACATGTTGTTGCTCCATGGATACGAATTATCTGCGCCCAACAATGGAAGAAAAGATTTCTCCGACACACCTTTCTCCACCCCACGAGATAAAGGTGTTACCTTTTCCGGAGTTGCCGCCGTGGATGGCACCGGACTGGTGTTCAAATTTTTGAGAAGCATTGGCCTGTTTCCGGCGAACAATGCCACAAGAAAGGCAACAGCCAAGAACACAGACACAAGAAAGAGGGCTGTCTTTCTGGATGGGCGGGTGGTGCGATCATTTCCGGTGGGTTGTTCGCCGTCAGGCAATAGGGCGTAGGAGTAGGGAAGGGCGGAGGTGGTGATTGGGTTTTCAAGGTCTGAGACTGTCGGAGAAGCCATCATGTGAAAGGTAGTCAAAACTCAAAAGATGTTTATGGTGAACGTGATTTGCAGGTAGATACTGGCAACCCTATTTATAACAAATTTTCGCCAAATACGAGAGATTTGGAAATTATATATGCTGAGGTGGAATTTGTCAGGTACATATAGTTCTGAACAATAGGTGGAACACAGCAGAGTGTTTATATTTTTCTTTGGAAGGTATATCAGCCAACATTTTCTCTGCTATATTTTTTTTTTTAGAGTAAATTACAATTAGTTGTGGTTTTTTTTTTCTTAAAAACTATTTTGCCTTTAATATATAATATATAGTATTTTTTTAATTTTCTATTATCTATTTGTAATTTTTAAATTAAAAAAAAAAAAAAAGAGTAAATTACACGTATGATCCCTATGGTTTTGGGTAATCTGCATGTTTAGTTACTAACTTATTCTTCTGTTCTTCATTAACATTATATGTCATTCATTCATCTGGATCGTTCCACTTTCTTCATCAACATCATCTGTTCTTCATTAACGTCATCTTTTCTTCATAAAAAAAACATCAACGTCAACTGTTCTTCATCAAAAAAAAACATCGACACTTCTTAAAAGCATAAATTCTTCATTAAAATTTTTCGTTTATTCATCAAAATGTTGTGATTCATCATTTAAAACATGTATTCGTACTATTAAGTGTGTGTCATGATTGGATTTTGTGCATTTTCATTGTTGTCAAGCAAAATCGTTAAACGTCATCCATATGTATTGATGTCACATCATTTAGCGATCACTAGTCATCGACACTTCATCAATCGAACATTCATCAATATCAAACAACATATAACAATTTAAAGTTCGTCAACATAACCATATATTTGAAAATTTTCTATAAATTGTTTTTTGTTTTTCATACATTTTTTCACAAATTTTGATCTCAACCTAAATATATTATGTAATATTCACAAGTGAATATGTCTTTATATACCTGAATTAATATATATCTTTTAAAAATACAGAGCAAGTATGTAATTCATATGTTAACAATATATAAAAATTATATTCACATATGAATACATGGTAATATTCACTAATAAACACATGCAATATTCATTAATGATAACATTTTTTTTTTGGAAAATCAAAAAAATGAAATTACGTCGTTTTTAGGTCCTAAGCAAGTTTGTAATATTCACATATAGGGATTATATCCACATATTATATCCACATCTGAATATATGTAATATTCACAAATAAATAAATGTAATAATCAAATGTGAATATATATATATAATATATATATATATATATATATATATATATATATATTATTCACAAATGAATAAAACTGTCAATAAAACAGAGAAGTATAAAATATATAAAACATAAATATAAAAAAGTATTCGATATGAATGAATATTTATTCACATATAACAAAGCTTTTTATGGTTAACAAAATAATCATATAAGCATAATTTTTTTTTATTATTTTTATATTCATTTATGAATAAATGATAACTTTTTTTCCGGAAAATTATAAAAACAGAAAAACATCATTTTAAGGTCCTAAACAATCCCGAATGGCCGAAAATGACCCGTACGTCACGACGTTGTTGTGAGTTTTTTAAATCGCACCATTTTATATCAAATATGCGAATTCCGTCTAATTTTAGGACTAAACTTCATTGCGACAATTTTTTGTGATAATGTAAATAAATTTTCATTTCTATTGGTGATGACATCATCATGATATGTTATTTTATTCATATAGAAATAAAGTTTGGAAATCATTATGACAAATTTACTAATGATGTCGCTAACTCTGATCTCACTAATAAAAACATTATTATAATATGTTATTTTTATTTATGTGTTTAAACTATACATGTTGATTATTCATTTGTGAATACGGCATATATATATATATATATATATATATATATATATATATATATATATATATATATATATATATATATATATGTATTTTGTAACATTATTATTTTACATTTAAATTTAACATTATACTAAGACAAACAACATTATATATATATATATATATATATATATATATATATATATATATATATATATATCTGGAAACGGCAAATGAATTAACGGAGCCTATACGTACTTTTAAACGTGCACCCCAGGTTCGAGCTCCGCAATGCGGGCAAACCCAGCCCCTGACGGGATTTCCAGGGAAAATTCCCCCACAAGGAGCAATTAAAGATGATTTATGGAGTCCCAAAGATTCGAACATCCAACCCCACCCCATTGTGGGTTATAAACCCGGTACATCACTACGAGCTTGGTTTATGAATATCATTCACATTTGAATTTAACAAGATCAAAATGAAGAATATATTAAATTGTATAACATGTACATATGAATATAAAACATATTGTCTTCATCAATGATATCTTCAACTTTGCACCAACTAATCGCCAACCATTGATTGAAATTTTATTTATTTATTGAGTTATAACCATTCCTGACAAACACGTGAATACATATAAAAGAAGTTAATAAAAATATATCATTAGTTTACTATAATAGCGATTTATCACATAGTATATTCACACATAAAGGTATAACCACATGTGAATATTATATTTTATTTGTTGTTTATATTGTATATTCACATGCGATATTACGTGGTATATTCACATTTGAATATTAGATGGTATATTCACTTATGAATATTAGATGGTATTTTCATATGTGAATATTACGTAGTGTTACATGGTATATCACATGTGAATATTACATATTATACTCATATGTGAATATTAGATGGTATATTCACTTATGAATAATAGATTGTATATTCATATGTGAATATTACAAGGTGTTTTTGTAACATCCCAAATTTCGAGGCCAATAATTTGATTTTAATTAAGAGATCCATAATATAGTTTACCAAACATTGTCAATGTCGTAACAATTTATAAATAAAACATAACAACGTGTTTGAAAACCATGTCATTAAAGTAATGAAAATCAGAGTACAATCCCAGAAAACTCCATGCGGAAACCACATGCGTGTGTGTGATGTGCTGCTACACCGTCGTCTCTTTCCCCTTAGACGAGGAGGTACCTGAAACCAAAATTGAAACTCTAAGCACGAAGCTTAGTGAGTTTCCCCATCGTACCGCATACCATACAATCACATATCATGCATACTGCTTGTCAATTCTAGGGTGCCCGACCTACCCATGTCAAGCCATTCTGGGGTGCTGACCTACCAATGTCAAGCCATTCTGGGGTGCTGACCTACCCATATCGGGCCGTTCAGGGGTGCCGACTACCCTCCGGTCTATCTCAACCAACAACGGGGACTATTTAACCCCTAACTCTATTATACAAAAACAATTATAATCATTCGATCAGGCATATCTGGGTTACTGGCCTACCTTTCTGTCCTAACGACCAAGTCAGGGAAAAAACTACTCCCTGCTACTACCACTAACTCATATAGCACATCATATAAGCATATCTCATAAGCATATCACATAAGCATACCAAGATAATTATTACAAAGAAAATTATCTATCAATTACGCTTGTTAGTGGGCCGACATTGTGGCCTTAGACCCACCCCTACTGGAAGGTAACTCACCTTGATGTCGTGTAGTGTCTGTACTATCCTCGGTGTGAAAGTCGGGTCTCCTCGAATCCTCAATCCCTACACGACAACCCTACCAAGTTATCAATGTGTACTCACAACCCCTACAAGGGTCAACTTAAATCCAAGTTAAAGTCAAAGTCAAACCCTGGTCAAGTCAACTCTTTGGTTGACCAGACTCGCCGAGTTGGTCCGCCAACTGGTCGAGTCCCTTCGTCCACATAATACTACAAACCCGTCCCCACTCGTCGAGTCTATCAAGAGCTCGATGACTTCACCTTCAACAACACTTCAGTCAATCTTCAACCGAATCAACAAGTTCTTTCTTGAACTCGTCGAGTTCATCTTCAGCATATGAATGCATCTAGTCTATGACTCGCTGAGTTGTATGAACAACTAGTCGAGTTCATCTTTAAAGATTGGGAGATTACCTTGGGCTCGCCGAGTTTGCTCGAACACTCGTCGAGTCCCATGATTCCCAGGTCCCTTATGAGCCTAAACAATTGAGGGACCTTCCACACTATCAACTGCTCCATCGACAGAAAGGATTCGGTGGTCATTACACCCCGACTCGTCGAGTCCATCCTTGATCATTACTATACAGTCGATTTAAATGGGTCTTAACACATAAAAACCATAGATCTGGCCACCTAATGTTCATTTTACAAAGTGCATGGGGCTCTCATGGCCATAGAGTTGGCACCTTTATGCCATGAGACCCCTCCAATGACCCATATCTGAAGTCAAAACTCCATATAGCCCTTCACAAATCCAAAAATGGCTCAGAAAGCCCTAAAGATACTCAAAATCCAAGCCCAAAGGATGAATAAACACATGGAAGACCAAGTCAGGGGCATTTTACCTTGAATGAGTTGGAAATGGAACAAAATTTATAGATCTCTAAGCCCCAACTTGAACTCTCAAGCTTCCTTCCTCTTTTCAAGCTTCACAATCCACCAAAATGCACTAAAATGGCCTTAGGACACTCACACAAAGCTAGGGTTTCATGATAATGCTTTTTGGCAGTAATAGGGACTGTGGAGGCTGAGATAAGCTGTTTAAATAGGGCACAAACCCTCAAAATTAGGGTTTCACCCAAACAACACCTACTCGCCAAGTCAGTCTCCCAACTTATCGAGTAGGTCATTTAAATTCCCCATGGATCACGACTCTACTCGACGAGTTGGGCCACCAACTCATCGAGTCCCAGAGAAAAACATAAAAATACTTGAAATGAAGCATACCAGGGATCGGGTGTTACAGTTTTCACAAATATATAGAATTTTTTATATATTATTCACACATGAATAACATACAGACTTGCATATTTGTTTTGTATTTTAATAATCATATAGTGATTCAGACGCGAAAAATATTCATATGTGAATATAAC